ATGACAAACATGAGCTGTAAGTAAAGGTCCTAACGAATGGCCATGATGATCTGTAGGTGACACCTCCCCAGTCATGCTCCTTGCTTGAGCCGAGTCTTAAGCAAGGGACCCTGGTGAAAAAGGAGCTGTGGTGACACAAGTGTTAAGCACTCAGCTGTTCACCACAAAGGTGGCAGTCTGAAGCTGTCAGGTAGCAGGATAGGGACAGGGGGGTTGTCCCTCTCCATGCCTGGAGGACCTTACAGGAGGTTGGCGGAGAACCTGGCAAGCCTTAGCCAGCCATGAAGACTACTGGGCAGGCACCAATTCAAGGCTGAGCCAGGTGGGCGGTACACCTGGACGGCCCAAACTAGCCCCAGGTGGGCGTAATTCAGCGAGTGGGGTCAACCAACCCCTTTGACCACGCCTCCCCGAAAAAGGCCTCAAAAATCCTGGCCTGCAGGAGATGTCTCCCTCTTTTTGCTTTCTCACCCTTCTGCTCCGGCGTGCCGGTCTCTCTGGCCGCAGGCTGCCACGTGTGGGTGTGCAGTCCCACGAGGTTGCCCACGTTCAGTAACTGTAAAACCCGAAACTTTATAAAAACCCACTTGGATCACAGACCTGGCTTTGCCGTGAATTCCTTCTCGTGCGTAGCCAAGGCCCGAGGTATTTCCAAGCGCAGAAACCTAACTGGCACCCAGCTGCTCAGTGGGAGAAAGACCCGGCGGTCTGCCCCAGTTAGAGATGGCAGCCAAGAGAACCCGCCAGGGCAGGTCTACTCCAACACCCCAGGCAGCTAGTTCTGGATGCACCACAACCGACTTAATGGTACCAGGCTACACCCCTCCGGTCCAGCTGAGACAGAGAACAGGCAGGTGGTACCCGCAGCAAGTCGAATTGGGGGAGGGGAGTAGAGGGGCCGGGGGCAGGCAAGAATGATACCAAAGACACTGAGCGAACCCAGGCAGTGGCCCCTCGGGCAGCAGGCCCTGGTGAGCAGCACAGGAGCGACCCAGTGTGTGTCTTTGAAGCTAACCATGAAGCCACCCTGGCAGCTGCCCCCGGGGCTTCAACCCCCTCCTCAGTCCTCTCCCTCCTGGCCTGACAGTCATGCACAACTATTTTCATAGCAAACGCTCTGCATTTAGAGATTAAAGGCCTTATACAAGTGCGGTTAAAAAAAAAAGGAAAAGCAATCAAGCAAGCATTGTTTCTGGATGTAGATTCAAGGAGATGCTCAGAAGGGGAGACTCCCGTAGGCTGGCCATTAGTCCTGTGATCTTCATGAGAATCGCCCAAGTTGCTGAGCTCCCAAAGCCAACACCTCCCCCATTTCTTGTCCACATCCGCTCCCTCCCCCATCTTTGTAAGACGCTCCGTCTCCCTTTTGACGTCCGTCATGTAATCTGGTACTCGGCTATCACTTTACTTTTTCTCCTCTTCAGAGTAGCCCCAACGAATGATTGTACAAATAAAAATAGAAACAACATCAACAAAACATGGTTTTTGAAATCTGTATCTCTATGGACGGGGCTACACAGAGATAGAAAATTATACACAGGAGGGGGTGTCAAAGTTTGTGGAAAATTCCATTTTCTCCTAATTCCATTTTCCATGAATTTTTTTGAAGCCCCACCCCTACCCCACCCCCACTATGAGCACATCAGGATAATTAGACATGGCTGCACCTGTGGGAGATAAGTTACATATGTTCACATGTTAGAAACATGATTTTTTTTTTAAAAAAGGTCTTCTCTTCCATGCACTTAACATTGTTAGGTAAACAATATAATTCTCCCTAATCAAATAACCCCCGAAATAACCGATTCATTTTGCGGCCAACAGCTGGGTCCTGCTAGCCGTTCCCAGCCCGAGCCCAACACAAACACAACAGGAAAGGCAGAGACAGCTGCAAACTCTTGGGAGGAAAAAAAAATTATAAAGTAACTTTGCATTTAGGCCTCAGTGTAGGAAGGAAATAAAATCATTTTTCTGTTCCTTTTCACGGCAGCTGTCTTTGGAGTGTGTGTGTGTGTGGGGGGGGCAGTCGGGAGGGGCTATCTATTTAATTTTGTAACAGAAATGCCACAGTATTTACTAGAACAGGCGCTGGAGGAAAAAAGGCCTGGCCACAGGCTCAGCACTTTAGCACAGTCAAAACATTTACAGAGTGCGGTAGGTAGCAACGGATGGATGGAGCTGGCAGCGCCCACAGTCTTGTCTTCGCGGGGAGCCCGACTCCTCCCCACCATTGTTTGCAGTAAACAAAGTGGTTTGCGGTGAGGTTGATTCCGTTTGATCCTGCAGAGACTTTAGGTCTCTTTATATAAAGTGGATCTGAACGGACTTCTCAGAGGCAAGTGTGGGAGAGGCGGTGCCTCTGTGGGTTCCCCCAGCCCTCAGTCTGTGTGGCTCACATTTTATTCTCATCCGTACAGGCTCTGTTTCCCCGACTAACATTTTAGTGCCTTTAAGGCTGGCTCTGTGTCGCTCTGCCCTTTGCTGCCCTCAGCGGCCTGCGATAGCCAAGGGAGGAGGGTCCCAACACAGACTTGATAAGAGCCACTTAAAAAAAAACAATCGGGGACTTCCGTAAAACGTGCCCTTGCTTCCACGTGGAAGGTTCTGGGTGCACAGGTGATGGCGTACATGATTCTCTTACACCAGTGCTGGAGGCAGGGCGGAAACGTCGCCCGCATGTCTGTGTGAGGGAGGCCAGCTATGGGGTGGATTTTGCCATCCAGGAGAATTTATTTTCGGAATCAATTTATTTTCAGAATCAATTATCAGAACAACCTGTTTTGAAATGGAGCTTTATGATAACTGTAGAGTCTGGAACGAGGCCAGGAACCTTTTGAGCAACAAGGTATCAGACCTAACGTGACTGTAGAAAGCTTACTAATAAGACGCTGGACCGGGGAGGTACTGGACACTGTAGGAGAGGAGAAACATGGAAATTAAGATTAAGGCATGCACACAGAGGGACCAGCAGGTGCTAGTGATCTTCCTTCAAGTTCTTTTGGATTCTACAGAATTGTACTCTACTCAGGGTAAAAGTATATCACCACCACCCACCCTCCAACCCCCCACCCACCCACCCACTGAAACTCACTGCCGCCGTGCCAAAGCCTACTCGTAGCGTCCCTTTGGGACCGAGTAGAACTGCCCACCATGGGTTTCTGAGACTAAATCTTTATGGGAGTAGAAAGCCTCATTTCTCTCCTTCGCAGAGGCTCAATGTTTTGAACTGCTGATCTTGCAACAAGTAAGTGCGCTACCAGGACTCCTTAAAAACAAAAAACAAAACCCTGTAGCTATATTTATGCCACAATTATATATATATATATATATATATATATACTTTCACTAATAACAAGTACAAGGAAGAAGAAAATGTTCTAAAATGGATTGTGGTAATGGTTGTACATCTCTTCTGGATGTGATTCAACTATTGAATTGTATGCTATATACTGCTAGATGAAATGCCAATAAAACTTAAAACTGGAAACAAAAATAGTATATACTTTATATGGATAAATGGATACTCATGATCATCTTTCAAACACAATAGGCTGCATGCTAATGTGTGGAGCAGACTGGACATCCCTCCTTCAACTTAAAAGGCCATGACAGCCAAGCACCTCTTGGGGGGTGGGAGTAGGGTGGAAGTGCCCTTAACGGTGAAGAAATGTGAGTAGAGGAGAGACTAGTGGAGAAATCTCTCTGTGGTCAGGTTTGAGTTTAAAAAACAAAACAGAAGCACAAAAAAACCCAGAGCTGTTACCAGCGAGCCAATTCCGACTCAGAGCGACCCTGCAGGACAGAGCGGGGCTGCCCCTGTGCGTTTGCAAGGCTGCCAAGCTTTACGGGAGCCGACGGTCGCATCTTCCTCCCAGGGAGCAGTGGGTAGATTTGAATCATCAGCAGCCAAGTTTGTCATCCTGAGTTTTGAGCTAGGAAAGTTTTATTTACGCTCCTACAACTCTGAAAGAATTCCACATGCCAAATATTTAAAATATGATAATGAGAAATGGGCAGACTTGCATAGATATGCTAGTGGTCAAAAAGTATGTTTCATAAAAGCATACAGACATAGGACAGTCAGCGGGACCAGTTATGGGAAAACATCATCATCGTGGTTTACCGGAAGTCACATGCATGCTATCAGAAGATTGTGAAATAAGCATCTATCTTGCAAAGAATTTTCCAGGAGGTGTGGAAGTTTAGTATTTCCACGGATACCAGTGCCATTTTTCACTAATCAATTGCTTACTGATGGGTGAACGAACGTATGCTGCAAGTTCTGCCCAGTAGCTATCAGCCCAGTGAAACAGATCCGAGGCAAGGGCATTTTAATTTCTGCAGAGTGCTGGGGTTCTGGTATCTAGGAGACCTGGCAACTTCAATCAAGTCTGGAATGAGAACGGCTACATGAAAATGCTGTTACTATCCATTAAAAGCATTTGCTAACAAATCTGGATTTTTTTCCCTCCCCCGCATTTGAACTTCTTTGTGTCTGACTCCTCCATTTTGCAAAATCAGGAGGGCCGGAGTTACAATGAGATGTTGATGATAATGGCCCTTCCTGACGCCTGCCCATATTTCTCAACGATGGGAACGTTTCTTCTCCTGGAGGCGCGGGGTTCACACAATAGCACTCCTTTGATCCGTAGCTTCCCTTGAAAGAGGAAAACAGCGCCTGGAAGTGCCGTAATTGTTTCATTTTATTTTCCAATCATGTGATAGAAATTATGAATGGAAAGAAAAAAGAAAACAAAAAACCACCACCACCATTCTGGATTGGAAAATTAAAGCAACTGCATTCAAATAGAAAGCTTCCAGATCTTAAAGACAGGGCATGGGCTTTGTATAAAAAGGACCAAGCGTCACTGTCTTGTTTTCAATCTGTCTCTCTAGTTACTGCGGTGGCTTTCCCGTGACAGGATCTGTGAAACACCTGATGGCAAAAACAAAACATTAATTACATGAACAGGGTCCAAACCACTAGGGGAAGCATTTACCTGCATGAAGCGACCCTCGGACGTTCCGAGATTGGCAATCGTGAGGTCTCCCTTAATGAAGGTGGATATGGAAGTTAAGAGGACTTGACTGAAGTGGCCCGCGGATAAGTCAATGCGCTGCAGAGCGGTGGTAAACTCTGTCCGATATTCATCGCTGCGCACTTCACAGCCGGATGAGTTTCTCAAAAGTGTCTGGAATAAAATATGGTTTTAGAATTAATGTGAGTCCAGATGCCAAAAAAAAAAAAAAAAAAAGGAAACGCTGTTCAGAAACCTGCCAGCGTGTCTTCTCAGAGCATGGTGGTGGTGGTGGCGGTGACGACAAGATTGACTGAGCAAACAGACAGACAGACAAACCCCTAGGTAGACAAGAAATAAGTATTTCCAGTGACCGAAATGGCTCTGGTTTCACCAGGTGTTGTGTAAATGGACTCTATTCTAAACGAGGGCAGAAGGGATCACAATTTACACAGTGGATCAATATGTGTATACATAAATATAGAATGTAGCTAATGTTGCTGAAAGTACAAGAAAACTTTAACTGTTGCAGTTCTTCACAGGAAAGAACTGTTTCGAGGGGACAAGTCTAATTAGGTGATTTTTCAACTGGAATAGTAAGAGCCCAACCAAAACAGCTATCTTTGGGCCTTTGTGTGCAGAGAGGTTGTGGGGAGGAGGGTTTTGTAAGTAATTCGTGGGGAGGCAGCACGTATTTCTATGCAATTTGGGCCCCTCGAGTTTACTTGCGGGGGCGCTAGGGGTTCTGGGAGCATTCTCTCCCCTTCCCCGTGGAAGCCTGGGGTGTGATTCCTGGACAGTGCCCCCTCACGTGCATGCCCCACTCGTCTGTGCGCGAGGGCTTGTGTGCTGCTTTGAGGATGAAAGCATCCCAGCAGAGCTTCCAGACTAAGAGAGATTAGAAAGAAGACCCGGTCATCTATTTCCCAACATCGGCCAATGAAAACACATGGTCTGGCGCGCCCCTAATTAAGCGGATGGCAAAGGACCTGGCAGGATTTAATTCGACCACAGTCACCAGGGCCCTGGAGCTGACTTGACTAACACAAGAACAATATCCCTAAATGACTTCATTGTGTCAACCTCTGATACCATCTGACTGAGCTTACTTCTTAAGGTCAAACTTCTATCATATGGGGTGCAAAATTCCCAAGGACATATAGTCCCTTTTTATAGTTAAAAAGCACCTAAAATAGTCTCTGTGTTAACTGCGTCTTCATTTTAAATGGTGATTGATTAGCAAACTGACTCTTGTAATCAATGTAATGCTTTAGTCCTGGACATTTATTTTGATATATTAATGACTTCTATTTTGCTAGCTAATTAGAAGCTGTTCTTCCCTAAACTACTCTAGATTTCTCTGAGGAGAAGCAGATAGCTGAGAGGGACCAGCCATTCAATGGAAACCGATTAATTGATAATTAGGTTTCTATTGGTGATCAGCCAGCCAGTTTGCAGAGTTCACCAGAAAGGGGGGCGGGGAGGGCTATTTAAAGGGCCAAAGACCCATTTCACATGGAAGGCCATAAATAAGAGACTTCTGTTTCTCCTCTGGCATCCAAGGAGCAGTGGTGATACACTGGGTTGCAAACCCTTGGTTCAAAACCACCAGTCACTGTAGGGGAAAGAGGATGCTATTCATAGGACCAGTTCTCCCCTGATCTGTCCGGTCGCCACGAGTCAGAAGGGGCTCCGTGGCCGAGTTTGGTTTTTGAGTGGCATCCTGGAAACGTGAAAGCCTCAAGCATGAACTAGAATTCTGTCCTGGTGGAGCTAGGCATCCCTGGTGGCACGCAGGTTGAGTACCCATCTGTTCACTAACAGGTTGGGTTCCAACCCACCAACCACTGTGGGAGAAAGGGATACCACAGACCGAGTGGGATCCCAACACTGTTTGCTGTGTGTGGAGTTTAGTCTTTTGTAAATCACTTAAAAATAAGTAAATAAAGAGGGACAAACAAACAAGGCCCAAGCCAGTTGTGGAGTCACTTCTGACTCATGACAGTTTTAAGTGTGTCAGAGTGGAACTGTGCTCAGTTATCTGCTGGCTGCTTTGGGGAGATGGATCGCTGAGTCTGTCTTCAGACGGGACTCTGGGTGAAGCCATCGCCTTCCTTTCTGCTAGGAGCTGAATGCGTTCACCACGTGGCCCACCCAAGACTCCTGTGAGTTCGTGGTGCTCTTCAATCTACACAGGACAGGGATTATCATGTTCTGCTTTTAGTCCTGATGTCTTGTATCATAAGGCGCCCTGGTGTCCCCATAGGGTAAATGTTTGACTGCTAACTGAAAGGTCAGTGGTTCGAGCCCACCAGCTTGAACAGGGAGACAGATGAGGCTGTCAGCTCTGGGAAAGATTTCCAGCCTTAGAATCCCAACATAGATCGGATGAGTAAGAATGAATTCAATGAGGTGGATTTGTTGTTGTTTGGTTGGCCACGTATGGCCACGTATGGTGTTCCTTGTATGGAGTCAGTTTAAAACCAGCTTGCAGGATAATGCATCTGCAATTATTTGGAGAAGTTCTGCTGGGAGGCACAGGAGCCGGGGAGGGGCGTCCTCAGAAGTGTCTGTGCACCTGCAGGAGCGCGAGCAGGAGTGCATCCGGCATGCTAGCCTCTGTGTCTCCGTCCTCACACAAAGGGCGTTGTACCAGTCTGGGTGCTAAACAGAACCAACAAGGGACACATTTATGTGATTTTTAAGATGTTTTAAGAAGAGCTATGGAATTTCCCTACACGATTGTGGGACTAGTCAAATCCCCAAATCTATAGGACAGGCAGGCTGGATGACAACTCAGGTAGTATTGCTATGTGACAGTCTCAAGGTAGAATTCCTTCTTCTCCCAGAAACGTTTTTTCATTTGTTTTCTCTTATGGCCTTCAACTGATTAGATGAGGCGCACCCATGGCGTCCAGAATAATCTCCTTTACTTTAAGTCAACAGATGGGGTAACCATAGCTACAAAATACCCTTACAGCAACTCCTAGATTAGGGTTTGTTTTAAAAACTTGGGGGGTGGGGGGAGAGGTAAAGGTGTAGGGTAGCTAGGAGTCTGATTTGATTCAATGGTGAGTCAGAATTAACTCAATAGCAATGGTTTTTCTTTAATGGGCTAGGTCTTTGAAATAGATTGACCAGTTAGGATAGACTCCACACCAACTCGTGTGTGTGTGTGTGTGTGTGTGTGTGTGTGTGTGTGTGTGTGCGCGCACGCGCAGATAGCCTAGCCAAGTTGACACAGGAACCTAAACAGGGCAGGTATACATGTGGAACTCTGCATTAGGGCCCAGGTGACATTGAGCACTCGGAAGTTCATTCTCCAGGAAACAGTAATGAGACTTCCTTAAGGACTTTTTTAAGGACTGAAGAACAAGTCATGTCTCCGTGGCCCCAAACAAACTCCTACGAGAGGAAGCATGGCACAATGTTGGAGTAGGGTCCATTGACCTTCTTAAGATTGAAAAATTGTGCAACTTAGGGGCGAAAACTAAAAAGCATGCCAAGTTCAAGTGGCCTGGCATTCATATTTCACAAGCTAGGAACCTCATCTTTTTCCTCTTTTCTCCATAGACCAGCAGGGGTAGGGTACTAGTTTCTAGGAACGAGTAATATTTCAGTATCCACTCTGGGAGATGAGATAATTCACTATCTTTTCCTGGTGAGAATCCTGATAAATTCAAAGACTGGGGCCAGAGTGGCAGGAAGTGGTGCTTAAGTTTTACCAGTAGCACTTCATTTTAGGGACCCTTAAACTCTGAGCATCACCAGGGTAAAATTCACTGCCACCCAGTTACTACCACCCTATAGGACAGTGGGTTTCCGAGGCTATAAATCTTTATGGGAGCAGAGAGGCTCATCTTTCTCCCGAGGAGCAGCTGGTTGAGTTCTTCAACAGCTGACCTTGTGGTTAGGAGCCCCGTGGGTAAGCCATTACCCCACCAGGACTCCTTAGGGCAGAGACAAAACAATGAGCAATATGGCTCCATCTTGGCCTGGCTCCTTGCCCCTGAAAGACACCGAGCAAGTGTTGGATGACTGCTGTCCATTTGTGCAGGGGAGATGGCGTGCTTCTTCCCACCACTTTATGCACATGTCTTGAGTGGGCTTTGGGGGGCAGGGTAGTAACAGACCCCTTCCACGGGTCTCCTAGCTACTTGCATGTTCAAAGACAAGGTCTTGTGTTTTAGGGTAAAACTGAGCATTGCTGTTGTTCAGTACTGTTTTTTTCTCCAGATATAGGGAACCCTACAGGACAAGTAGAACAAACCCATAGTTCGTTGTAATCTTTTCTGGGGCAGATGGTCAGGCCTTTCTTCCACGGAGTCCTTGGGGCTTAAACCACTGACCTTTCAGCCAGCAACTAAGCACTTAAACCATTGGGCGCCTTGTTTGTATCACTTGAGGACCTATTTCAGAAACATTCATATTCCCATGGAGAAGGCTTCTCCACTCTTCGGTGCCCTTATGCTCTTCCCCCCTTTCAGCTGGCAGGGCTCCTTAGGCGAGCTGGAGCTGGAAGAGAGCCCCCGAAGGCACGGTGGCTGCCTTGGGGAATTGCACACGTCTACGAAGAAGGGTCTCTCCGCACCAGGAGGGAAGCCAGGCAAACTCTCTCTAATTGGTAACAAAGGGAGGAAGAAGGAAGGAAGGAAGGAAGGGAGGGAGGAAATCAATCTTTTCTCTGTACCGACCGTGTGCCAGGCACCGAGCTGGGCATTTCCATGTGCCAGATTCACAGCGACCCTGTGGGGTTTTAGGGATGAGTGGGCTCAGAGCAGCTCAAGGCTCTGCTACAACTGCCCATGTCCCACAAACTGGCATGAGGGGGATCCAGTTCCCTTAGGTTCTCAGCGCCTGGCTTTCTCGGCTACTACTCTGCGCAACGGATGGAGCCTTGCACAGTGGCGGACACAGACAGGGTCTTGGAGATCCTTTCTCCAGTCCCTGGTCTCTCTTCCCTGTGAGAAATGGAGACTGGGGGAAGCTGTGAGTCTCAGAGGGTTGGGATCATTTGGCTTGCAAACAACACCCGCAGCTCTTCCAAGCAGCAGTGGCCATCATGCACGGAGGGTTTCTTTTGTGAGAGAAGGGCCCTGGTTAATCCCTGGTTTCTGGATAACTGCACAGCGATAACGGCCTGAGTCTGGGCTGTGCTGATTGGGCTGGCTCTC